AATGATTTTTTAAGTTAAACATCATTCTGTGTCCTTAAAACAATTTTCTTTAAATAACTTTGCTATTTATATTTCCAATTTTTCATTTTCAGTTTTTTCCGGACATGTCAGGTAGCTCATATTTTGGGGTGTTGACGTAATTCGCTACCTGCCCTACAAATAAAATATCTCCACTTTTTGCGCTATTATTGTGCAAATCCTCTAAAAGTTGAATAAAGTCGTTAGCTACTTTTTCTACGGACAATAAAGCAACATCTAAAGATTTCAACATATTAACAAGTGTTTCGTTTCCTGTTACTAATGGAGTATCAACAGCGTTGGGACATATTGCAGCAACTTTGACGCCATCATTTTCCTATAATTTAAAAAAAATGTAGAGTTATAAACGTTTTTAAAAATCGTAAACATTTGAAAAAACTCTTGTTTAGCTATATGATTTGAGCAAAAAATATTATAGACAACAATAAGTTTTTTTAATCGCATTACCAGTATATGCAATATACTGGTAATACAAATACTAGAATACAATAGGTTTTCTTAGTCATGTTACCAGTATATTGGAGAGTGCCAAAGACTTTGTAAACGTTACTGTAGCTGATTTGGAAACACAATAAGGTATTGTTTCGATGGGATTAGGATGAGTTAATAACATTATTTCTGGTGATAAACCAGCAGAAGAAGCGATGTTAATGATAATACCACCATTGCCACCATTTTTGATACTCATCTTCTCCAAAGCAATATAGGTCGTTTGCATAAGTGATATCTGTATGAACAAAGTTCATATGTATAGCGTAATGAATAATTATATTTAAAAAACTATTTAGGAAAAAAAAACTTACGAGGTTTATTTCCATTGTTTTAATGAAGTTGGAGGGGCAATAAACTCCAGCGTTGTTTACAAGCACGGAAATTTTTCCGTTGAGTTTTTTTTCACTGTCCTCCCAAATATAATTCATCATGAATTTATCAGAAATATTTCCATGGTAGAAAACGGACTGACCTGGATAAGTTTTATTGAATTCATTTTCCGTTTCTTCGCCCGTTTCTTTTTGAATATCTACAAGTATCACTTTACCACCGTGTTTCAATACAGCAAGAGCAAAACCTTTTCCCAGACCTTGTGCTCCGCCAGTAATCATAAACATCTTGTTTAAAATACTCATTTCTTAAAAAATATCTTTAAAAAGATTTTAATTAAAATCAATATGTCAAATGAACCATTTGTATCTAAAACTTAGTTACAAAATAAAATTAGAAAACTTTCCTTTTCCTTTTTTTAACAATCTCGGATTTGTAATACTTAGAAACTTCTAATAACAACGCGTACTTTTTCATTGTGTTAGTGACAACAGAAAGATTATATGTTTAAAATCTTTTGCATGTATATTTTTAAAATGTATAGTTAATTTCAATTTTCGTCATCGAAATTATTATTTATTTAGAAAAATAGTTTTTGCGTATAACATTTTTATAAAAATATTTATATATAAAAAAAAAGTTATACAAACCTTTTCTCTCAAAAGTTTTAGATAATCTTTTATAAACTTGTATGTAGTAACCAGACTATACAACATTTGTATAATTCAAATACAATAAAAAATCATCAGACTTACGAACTTAATCTAATTACCGACAAAACATACTGAAAGATTTTCCTTTTTGACGTTGTATGTTGTAATGGTTGATTTCACATATTAAAATACCTGTTGTGTCTTGGAGGTCGAAGCAATTAAAAAGAGCATATATTTGGAAAGCATAGTCAAGTAAAAGTTTGTGTGACCTAAATAACACATTACAGACAAAAAAAAATACTGGCATTGAACCTCAGACCTTTTGATTTTGAAGCTATATCTTTAACTACTATTCAACGGATTTACATTTACACGGTGTGTGGGTTTTATCAGCATGCTGGTTATTGTCATTGTTATTTAATTATATTTACTAAAAGTTAAACTTTAAAACTTTCTTTTATGATCAAACAAAAAGATTATCTAAAAAATTGAAATCAAAATAAAATAATCTTACTTAAAGTATTAAGGGCCAGAGATAATCAAGACAAAAATAAATTAGTATATTTTAAAAATATTTATTTATTTTTTTCTTTAGCTATGATTGTCTCGGTTGAAGGAATCAATTAAATAAAATACACCTGCAAAGCAAATACTATTTAATAATCTAAAACCCTTCAGATATCTTAAAATCAGTACAAGCTAATCTTTCCAGATTAATATTTATCTCAAACAGCTCAATATTTTCAGAAATATCTTCATGATATAAATATCTCCATGATAGAAATATCTCCATCATAGAAATATCTCCATATTAAAGTACTGTACATTATAATTTAACAGTTCAAATTTAATATTTGTAAAAAGCTATTAAATTTTTTGTGCCTTATAATTCCAGATGGTTGTTTCAAACAAATTGCTTTCTTTACAAATTATGCAGTTGAGAGAAACTTTAGGTCTGTGGATTTTTTCTTGGTGGAACCTTGTTAAATGATTATCATATACCTAGGGTTGAGCTTCTGAAAATCAAACCTTTTAGTTTTGTATGAAGTAGTTTGTAACTCGATTATTTATTTAAAAAAATTAAATTAAATAAAACTTTAAGTGATTTCTCTTAATATAAATATTCCTAGAATTTAGTTGTAGTTTAAAATCTTATTTACTTATGATTTTATATGGGGAAAAAAGACCTTTAAATAATTTTAAGAAATGTCATTTGTAATAGGTTGATAAAATAGTGACTTAAACATTTAATAAACATTTTTCCAGCAGTACATTGATCAAATTAAGTATTGGTATTATTTATTGATTATCATATTGCTTATATAGTGTTTATTATAGTTAAGACATACCGTGTAATACCATAAAATTTTTAAAAAATTCAATCAACATTTTTTGTATCAAACGTGTATGCATTTTATCTCATATAGCAAATGATTCATTTAACTTATGATTTTTTATTTCAAAATAAGATTACATCGAATTCCCGATATTTTTAATCTTCAATTATAACATGATTTTGATAATTTGTAAAAAAAGCCTAAAATGTAAACTTTAGGTAAAGAGTCCAACTTACATACATTGTTAGCCTTTTTTTTTTTTTTTTTTAACACATATTTACGCTCAAGGATGTCAGAAAACAATATAAAACCACATTTTACAACATTTTACAACATTTTTTCAAAATTTTCATTTTTTTTTTATTTTTCACCAAAATAATGGCTGGATACCACCTTAAGGTGGTATCCAGCCATTATTTTCATACAATTGAACATTGTAGAATTCAATAGAAAAAATATTTTTTCAAAAATAATGTTAGAATATCAAGAATATTCTTCTCAAACACATCAAGGTATTTTTATATCACATAGCAACGACCATAGCAACCGTTTTAGCCTATAAATTAGTCTCTGAAAATTAGACATACCAAGCCTGTAACTATTCTTTTTTTAATGTTATAAGTTTATATTAGTCTAAATGTCATAAATCTAAGTTACATTGCTATTTTTAACGGTTTTTTAAAACTATCTGACGGAAAAGGTATATCTGGTAAAGGTCGTCTCACATCTCACAAATTAAAAAAAAAAAGTAAAAATAAAACAAGAAGAAATTTAACAATAATTATTAAGAGTAACTTTTACCAAAAACGTTTCTTAAGTTTTAAAAATTTATTTTTTTATTGTAAACTTGAGTGAATTTAACAAATTTACCATACCATTGAATCCTTTTTGAAAAGAATTCTATACTTTAGGCTCTCGAAATGAAATAATCTGAATATTTATTAGTTATCCGAGGCAGTTTATATATGTTCATTATATTCGCTCTTAGATAGTAATTTTCATTTTTCTTTTTTTCAAACTTGTTTAAGTTTGCAGGAGAGATATTGTTATTGTACCAATATATACAAATTAGATGCTGATAGACATTTATTTCGTATAAATTCATCATTTTTATTCTTTTCATTAAAGTTTAAGCGTGTTTACGTCTATCTTTAAAGTAAATGATTCCGCAGACTTGTTTTTGTAAACTATAAAGTTTCTTTAGCTTTGATGTTTGAGTACTTGCCCATGAAGTATTTCATAGCCCAATATAGATTAATTTAAGAATTTGTGCATTGATGTAAGAGCGAACTCGATACATGAAACGTATGGTTTTGGTTATTTTTGACTTTGACTATATGAGCCAGGATAACTTTTCATCAACAGTAATTCCTAAGAATCTTATAGTTGATTGCTTTTTAATTAGTTTATCATTTAGGTCAGGCAACGTGAGAGGACGATTTCCTTCTTGAGTTTTTTATGAAATAGAAAATAGTTTGTTTTCTTTGCATTGTGAGAGTTTGTTAGCCCTAAAACAATTGTTTACTTTATTTAGTTCAATATTCATATCAGCATTTAGTATTGTGATATCATTGTTGGTAATAAATAAATTAGTGTCATCCGCAAACATGTCTGAATTCAGTTTTAAAGATGCATTATAGAAGTCATTTATATAAAATTAAAACAGGCGCGAATCGAGAATCGATCCTCGTGGGATCTCCACATAAGACATTTATAACTCCAGATTGAACATATTACTTTAAGACGTATTAAATTAACAATATACACATATTGCTTTCTGTTGGTGAGATAGCTTTTAATCCAATAATAAATTTTCTTAGTTATCCCTTATAGTGGTTTACCAGGAAATATAGTTAAAATTTTTTAAATTTTTCAAATATTTAGTTTAGATTGTTTTAAGATAATTAATTATCCCTGAATTCATTTCTAAAATTTATTTTTTAATAAAACTAACACAAAAGGTTTATTTTAAGAATTAAGCAGGATGGTTAAACATATTTTGCATAGCAACGGCCCCTAGCAACACACTATTCTTTCAAGTTTTGGACTAATTTTTGTATACTAGGCATACTTTTTAAAATATTGAACTTTAGTATGATGGTCAAGTCTGTTCTATACCGTAGATTAAAATAAAACAAACTACACTTATTTTTAGTGTTATAAAAGAGCTATTACAGAGCACTTATATATCACTACAGATGAATTAATGATAAAACTTGTTATGTATATTTATCTTTATTAATAAAGTTATTTATATATTTTAATTATTTCATTTTAGCTAATAAATAAATGGAAATACGAAGAATTGTTTAAGAAAAGTTAAGAGAACATTCTAGACACAAGTTCCAAAAAACAAGTGATAAAGCAAGTGAAATTAACTTTACAATAAATATCATGTGGTGATAAAAATCTTAGCAAATTTAAATTGAATGAAAAACAGTGTTTTATTGATTTTAGTTTGATTAAAGGGATCCCAAACTCCCAACACATGTTGTGTTCATATTAAAGATAATGTTAAAAAAAATTGTTTGAACCAAATTTTTTTGATTAAAAATAAATAATGAATGCATACCGTGAAAAACAAATGTTGTTGTTTTTGCCGAAGCTCGTCTTCTCCATTTTTTTGAACTAATCGGAGTCTTCAAATTATGCGTCGCAATCTACAGACTTTGGCAATTCCTTTGAAGCGCGTTTAATTCATAAAAGTTTTAGTATTTGACGTCACGGTAGACTTTTAACAAAAGAAACTCTAGAAATATTTTTGTTTATTTTTAGTCGAAGTTTTTTTGATTATTTGTTTAGTTTTTTATTTTTCTACTTTTAATATGTAAAAAGATAATAAAAACCTTAAATATTTCATGCTGGTTCGTTACTATAAATTGTTATTGCGCCATATATTTAATGTTTATAAATTATGAATATTTATTATCTCAAAAATTGTTTTACATTAATTATAATCAATGTAAAACAAGGCATTTTATTTTTATTGCTTAGACGTTCTAAATAATAAGTAAATTTAGTTCAAGTTAATAATTATTAACTTGAACTAAATTTACTTATTATTTAGAACGTCTAAGCAATAAAAAAAAAATGCCCCTAAAATTATGCGAGATTGTGTTGTTTATTTGGTAATTATTGTTGGTAATGTTGTTTATGTTGATTATTTTCATAAATATCAAAATAGCTCCAGATTAATCTGTTCGTTGCTTTGCTCATTGTTGATTTATTTCTATTACAAACTATAATTATAAGTTAAAAAAGAAAAGTTTTTATTTCATCGCGCGCTCTTTTTATAAAAGAGTAGAACAAAAGAGAAAGAAAATTTTCGCGCAATTAAACTTTGAATGAGTAAGAGTTGTATAGAATATATTTTTTTTTT